AAAAAAAAAAAAATACAAGCATATTATATCATGCAGTAGTTCAGTTATAACAAGTCTTTATATTTTTGGATTTCTAAAAATAGTTTTCCTGTACATGTCATATACTAGGTATATCCTTGGGGCCTTTATTCTCCTCTGACTTTGGGGACTCCCCTCACTGCAGTCTTCATTGGGTGTTTGTGGCAGTTACCACATGATTGATTGAGCCGTTGGGGAGAAGAAGGGGTGGTGTTTTTTATGTCCCTACTTCTCTGGTGGTGTTTTGTTGTGGTTGTCATAAATCTTAGGAATTAAGTCGCAGCGTTTGTTTTCTAAGGCTGTTTTATTTATTTTTTCTTTCCTTTTCACTTGTTTGCTTTAGGCCCTTTGTTTGAAGACAGTCCTCCCTGCTGCCCAAGATTTCATTTCATGCCACGGTTTGTGAGGTTTCTTCCAGGTAAATCTTTTGGCTTGTCAGTGACCCAGTGTGATAGTGCATCTGAAAATAAGCCTGCTGTTCTCCTTTCAATCTTTATGGACAACTTCCCATCTCAGATACTGTTAATTATCTACTTCTTAGGTCAGGAATGAAATGTAAAATTACACATTCTGATTTGTACCCCTGTATAATATATGATAGCCCCAAATTAGATGAGCAGTGGACAAGCGATTTATAAATTTTGAAGATCTAGATAAAGTATCATGCAAGTATTAAAATTAATATGGGAAAACTATGACTCTAAAAAATGCATATAGTTAGTTGGAAAACAATTGGTATAAAATTGTATATGGACTATGATTATAACTAAGGCAAAAATTACTGCAATAATAGGTATATTAATGTACTGTATTATAGGTGGTTTTTTTCCTATTTTTTTTGACACATGCTTTTATGCATTTTATCGTGAAAAAATAAGTCATTTTCTCACTAAGTAAATGTATTACTTTTTAATTTTCATTTATTTATTTTTTTATTTTAGACAAAATACGAGTGGGGAGAGGGGCAGAGGAGGGGTGGCAGGGTGGGGGAGAGAATCCCAGGCAGGCTCCATACCCAGTGTGGAGCCTGATGTGGGGCTTGATCCCAAGATCCTGGGATCATGACCTGAGCCAAGATCAAGAGTCAGACACTCAACCAACAGAGCCACCCAGGAGACCCTTTAATTTTTTTAAAGCAGTATTTTAAGTTTTACATTTTTTTTTCAAGAGTCTAGCTATGTGATATGGTATTCTATTTAGCATTTTTAAAAATGGCAAGGTTTTCTTTTTTTTTTTTTTTTT